AACGGAATAAACATTGTGTATAGTTCCAAACACCCCTACTCACACTCAACTTGTTCCCTACAAATAGCATGATTGGATTAGCCACCCCCTGTCTGCTTACCTTAAAAGCTGAAGTACAAAAATGCCCAAGTAACAGACATTACAAATTAGTATTTTCCCCAATATCTTTCTGGCAGCTCCTAAAAGTAGAAGTAGAAAAGTGCAGAACCTACAAAAGACCTATGCCTGATACAAGGAATATCCTAATTAAATAAGGTTTTAAATTCTATGAAAACCTGAATGTTATACATGCTTTAGCTAAGCTTCCAAATAGAAGTGCTTGGGTATCATGGGAGTCGTTCATGAAACAGGAAAGACAGCCATCATTATGAACACCCCAACTCCACCAGACATCTGTACATATCCTTTGGGTTTACAAGAAGCAATCTACAATATATATCACTTTGATCTGCTCCCAGAAGCAAGTGCAGTGGTATTTGCATGGGTAAATACATAAAAGATAAAAGGAATATATAAAATAGAAAATCACAGAAGCTGGAAGCAAGTTGTGAAAAGGGACACTAGATTTACATGGGTCAAAGAGTATTCAGAGTTACCACAATGAATATGTATGTTTTTAGAAATTTTCAAATGCGTTACAATACGTGATGATTCATGAACTGGATGAGGTTCAAGCTAGTGGGGGCTTGGCAGACCATCCTTAGGGGCAGGTCATCCCCAGATGCCCCAAAGAAGGTCAGGCTTGGTGAACAGCCAACTTGTGGTACAGACCGTTTCTGTTGATAAGGGCCTGGAATATGTGGATCCTGCTCCATTTTTTTTTTTAATAAGTCTTATACACCCTTAGAAAAGAAAGTATCAGACCTCAACACTACAACTGCCGGAGCTAGTAATGTGCCTTCTGATAGTCTAAGAACAGCTTAACTTTGCATAGGAATATTTTGAAAGGAAAGAAAAAGCCTGACACCAAGACAAGCTTGTAAAGCACATTTTATGAAAAGAATCTGGGAGCCATTTGGAGGAGACTGAGGGTTTGGAATCTGAAAGATAAATTTGAATAGGGATGTATAAATAGTCAGATGGTCAAGGGGGCAATTGAAAAGCAGTTTATAGCATGATACTCCATGACTATCCCTACCATATATATGGTAGCGTGATGATAACCGTATATTCAAAATTACTGATGCCGCTGATCAGGGAAAAAAGATAAAAATTTCCTTTTGCTTTCATCTTTGAATTCTGTAGAGGCAAACTGAGTGTACTTTGGGACTTGTATTCGCTTCTTATATATACAAGGTTGAAAATGAGCCAAGACTTCTTAGAATATTCTTGCAGAAGAAGTAAGGAACTATAATAGTCAAGACAACAAAATAAGAAAGCGAAGGTGTACATAATTGAGAAAGGTCACCACCTGCCTCAGAACATCTGTGTGGGTATCCTCACAAAACTGTCAGATTCCTTCAGGTCATTTACTGTTCAGGATATATAGATGCACAGGTTTAGATCCTGGGAACTGCTCAGGCCTCTCCTATATCGGTTTATCTTTAGAACAATGCCACACTGATCTGCAGCTTACATTTGCAGGAAGCGTGTTATGCTGGGGTAGGATAAAGTGCTTCATGCACCATGACACCTGGCCCTGGATCTTTGGATCGGACATTTCTCACAGCCTATACTGGTACAGAGGCAATAAACTTCTACCACAGTTTTACATCGAGAAAGCCAAGCATATATTGTAACGCATGTTGTTGTTTTCTTAGAGCTGTTCAGTGTCTGACAGTGACTGGGGTCTATTCTACGAAGCTTTCTCCAGACAACCCAGTGGCTCCTGCCTGCCTATTGCCTCCGACTTTTTGATCTTCTTTGTATGGAGTCTAATCTTGTATTATTGCAACTAATGGGGATGATGCCTGGTCTCTGAAAAAAACAGCTTTCTGTGTACTGTGTGAGGAGTGTTAATGGGACCAAGATGTTTGTCTGCCCTCAGAATGATGCTTTCTGTCATGTTTCTGACTTAATTTTCCTCAAAACAGATGAGATATTACCTCATTTGTACTTTTTAAAAGTAGCGCTGTGTCAGATTGTACCTTTTGGTCTTGCATTGTTCTTCTACAACCTATCATGTGCGCCTGTGTTCATAAATAATATATCCACTTGTGCATATAGCTAAAATTTTTGTGTGTGCATGGGTTTAAAGCAAACACATAGACATATAAAATACAAATTAATTTGATTCCCACTGTACTTGTAACACAGCCAAATTCTTAATATTTTATAGTGCATATTCCATTAAATAAATAATAACTAAATTGATCTATGCTACAATATGTGTATACATCCACATTTTATGATGCCTGTAAATAACATTTTAAAGCCTGTTCACACATCAAAAGATAGGTTGTTTATTTCTTTGTTAAAACAATCCCAGGGTTTAACTCTTCCTATTATGTAAACAGTGGTGACAGCCGCTTTCAAGGAAGCTTAACTTCATTAAAAATAATAGTTTTCCATTGTAAAATAAATACTAATATACTATAAATCCCCCTGATGAACTCTGGCTTCCTTACATGCTCTCACATTTTGTGTATTAGGGGCGCAGCACTACTCTAGATATCAGAAGATAATAATATGGCAATATATATAGATATTGATATATATTTAAATGTTAAAACATTAGTTAGGTCAACTTGAGTAATGAATATATTTCAAATATAGGCTACTTTCTATAAATAAGGGTCATTAATTTTCTTTGCAACATGCGTGCCTTAGAAGTCTTTCCTTGTATGTGGCTACCAAACTGGTAAACCAATTCTGGGTATCTTTAGCTCAAAATGCACTTGTGACATATAGATGAAGCTTTAACTTTTTTTCGTGTTTTATACTAAACTTGTACTTGCAGTAGACTTGCAATATCATTTACAAGCTTACCTTTAGGTAGACATTTTAAACAACTCATACAAAAGAAAGATTTGTATGTCGAGTATTTGCTTTAGTGACAAGAAAGCTAGGTATACTCTATTCATTTCTCAAGCAGACCTTTATGAATCACTTTAAAAGGACACTACAGCTGAAGACTGAAGAGCAATATTTATCAACATTAAATAAAACATTTGGTGAAGTATGTATAAATATTTCTTCATATGAACATAACACAAAATTAAATAGTTCAGATACACAGACACCATTTAATATATTTCCACTGTTGTCAAAATCATCTGTAAACACCATCTCACACTGAATACAAAAGCAGCTTTTACATCAGTTCTGTGTTCACAACACTGATGCCCCTTTGTAAAAGAAGACATTTGTTTTGTTTTATTTTCAGCAAAATAAGAGTCTAAGCAATAAAAAAAGTTTTGGTCAGTTCAAAGGAGAATACAAAATTATCTTTCAACATGTAACTAAATCAGATTTAGAACAATAGTTTAAAGTACAATCCTTTCCCCAGGGGATCTCCGACTTTTATAAATCATGTTTGGTGCAGACCACATCACAAATACCAGGAAATACTGGTCATGTCTACGCTATAAATATTAAAGCCCTTTTAAATTTTTCTTTATAAAAAATTGCCAGGTTACAAATTGGCAATATCCACGTTTTTCGCAACACCGAATAACCTGGCATTAAACAGATCTAGGTGCACTTCTCCTAATGATTTTTAAAACAGATTCTGGAGAAGAAACACTTTTTAGTGAGCATCCTTCATGTGCAAAAATAAAGCATTTCCTTTACACAAATCTTTTGCATCTGAAGATCACCTGGGCAGAGAGTGCAAGCGGGGGGGCTCCACCAAGTTAAGACAGAAAATTACAACTCGAACTTTCATCGGAAGCCGTACAGATACTGTGCATTGGATCTGAGCTGGCTCTGAGAAGGGTGGTGCCTCCACACGGTGCAACTCAGGACAAGGCGTCGCAGTGTCCGTGCGTGCCCCGAGAGCAGCATAGCCGCCCGAGCACGAAATGGGGCTCCTGCTAATGGCTGCGCCCACCTGGTCCCTGAGCAACTCCCTTTGAGCATCAGCACTCTGCAGCCCAGATGTGGGCTCTCGCCATCCTACACCCTACAAAGATAACGTCATACTCTGCCCTGAATGTAGCCTTCAATTCCTTTTACCTTCGTATCTTTTAGAGGCGTGATAACTTTGGGGAGAGATACTGTGCTCAAGATTAAGGTTTTACTGGGCATGTGCCCCATTACAAAATTCTGTAGACTGCTAGGCTCACAGGCTGCGCTTTGGTTCTCTCCATTTGAAATGTGGACACCATGTTTTGATTTCAAAGATAAACTTGAATTTCAGGTGGCAAATAATGAGATATATATTTATAATATGATTTTCTGATTTTTTTTTTTTAATTTCACTCACATGTAATCGTGATGGGGGGGGCCCTGTAAGACCTAGAATAGATCACCTCATTCCTGGTATGTGTGTATTTTAGAGGTGTGAATGTATGTTATGCATACATACACACTCACGAACACACATATATATAACATGAGCTGCACACATAGATACTCGGCAATCAGGAATCAGGGGTACAATTAACAATATACCAGAAGAGAAGTAGACAGGAAGCTCTACCTGGACAACAAGAAGCAATTTTGCAACCTATACAGTGTCTCAAATAATTTCATAATCCTGTTTTGCTAGCTTGCTACATCTGTATGTGACTTGAACTGAAGGTTGTTGGATTCCTTGGAAACAGAAGAGTTGGGCTAGCTAGATGTGCTTACCTGAGATCCCAGAGTTGATTATAATCAAAGAGCTGGGCAGATCAGTAATGGGTTTATAATTGCTATACAGCTTCTTGCAAATTTGTAGGAAAACTTTATTAAGTAAGTCTTTCATTCCTTAGTAAAAATGTTGAAGTTTGTTAGTTTTTGCTGAATGCAGACTTGATTTTTATATTAAACTGGATTTATTAAAAGGATACATAAGCCTGGCAGCTGCTTTCACGTCTTGATGTTTAAATGTTTGAATCAGCACCCTAGAACCACCCTCCCACCCCAACCCATCCCATCCCATCCTTTCCTATCCTGTCCCGTCCCGTCTCATCCCGTCCTGTCCCGTCCTGTCCCATCCCGTCCCATCCCATCCCCCTTCATTATTTTTTTAATTGTTTAAAAAATACTATCCTATGAAGCCTCCCTAGGGATCCGCTTATGAAAAATGACGGACTGCCTTTGCTGATACTGCTGTTTGCGTCGTTTTCGTTTGTCACACTGGCACAGCAGTAGCATCTTGAAAGTGTTTCTGAATGTTTTGTTACACAGTGCATAGCACACAGGGTTCACTGTGCTATTGATGTAGCAAAGCCAGTACCCCAGGTTCCAGAAAGTTTTGGGGATACAGCTGCAAAAGGTGTTCACCAGAACCATGATGTTATATGGGGTCCAGGTAATGATGAAGGCAAACAAAATGGCACTGAGTGTCTGTGCCGCTTTCTTTTCTTTGATAAGTGACATTCGTTTTCGCTTTGTGATCTGACTTCTGGTCTTCAAGGCAAACTTTTTTGCCAGGGTTGCTTCCTTGAAGGACAAGGGCAGGGCTGCAGATGTCTTGGTCACTGACGAGATGCCATCAGAAGCTGTGGTTGTCTCTGCTGACCCTGGCTGAATTGGCAGCTTAGAAAAGCTCTTTTGGAAATTTCCACCATCCTGAACGCTTTTGGGAGGGTGCAATTTTTTAGGTTTCTTTTCCTTCGATTCTGTGTCGGATTTCTGCAGTTCATCCCCTGACTCATGCAAATCTTCTGAGGAGGGTAGTTTCGTGGAATTGAGGATGGCGCTGTGACCAGGAAGCTTCAGCACGATTGAATAGATGGCTCTGGTCTCTGCAGCGATGTCTTCTTCATCAGAGGAGGCTGAATTTTCAAGGGAGGCAGCAGCGTCGTTGTTGTTCCAGCTGTCGCTGCTGCTGTGCTCTTGGTCCCCCTGGTCTGCATTGGGTTCCCAGCTCTTCATTGTGAGCCAGAAGTGGCAGCGTCTGTATTTCCTTCGGGTGGAGCGTTTCATGCTCTGCCGTTGCAGCTCGTAGCTGCTGCAGCTCCGGGAGCTGCCTGTCTGGTGTACGAAGCGTGCTGCCTCTGCTTCACTGCCCGAAGCCTGTAGGCCTGCTAACTCTTTGGTGCGTTTCTCGGTCTCCTTGTAGATCCTCCAATACAAAATACTCATAATGGTGACTGGCAAGTAAAAGGCAGCTATGGCAGTGCCAAAAGTGATGACAGGTTCACTTAGAAACTGGATGAAACATTCATCAGGAGGTACAGTCCTCTCCCCAACAAAATACTGCCAGAACAAGATGGCAGGGGCCCAAAGAACAAAAGAGATGATCCATGCTAAACCAATCATCACCCCAGCCCTTTTGGTTGTTCGTTTGGCTCTGTACGTAAGTGGCCTCGTGATGGAAAAATACCTGTCAAAACTTATGACAAGGAGATTCATGACAGAGGCATTACTGGCGACATAGTCAATGGAGAGCCAAAGATCACAGGCCAAGTTTCCCAAAGCCCAGTGGTTCATGATGATGTATGTGGTGTAGAGATTCATGGAAATAACACCGATGATCAAATCTGCACAAGCAAGACTCAACAAGAAGTAGTTGTTGACCGTTTTCAGTTGTTTGTTAACCTTAAATGCAACAATCACTAGGATGTTTCCTATGATGGTCACCAGTGCAAGGATCCCAGTGAGGAAAGCAATCAAAACTACTTGCCAGACAGTGTGTCCACCCAGAGGGTCTTTGCTTGTGGCATTTAGGGACATGTTTGCTGACTCCACAGTGGAGAAGGGAAAACTCTCTGTAGTCTGAGGGAAATCATAGCTGCCAATGAGCGACGCTGCTTCATCGAGGAGTCCCGGTCCATGTGAATCTCTCTTCCAGAAGGAGCTCACATTTGAAAACAGGGGCGAGGCTGAACTGTTATTTTGCATGATCATTGTGGCTCTCTGACATAGTCTGCAGCAGGGAAAAAACAAACAAAACCCAGGTGAACAGGTGAAGATGGTAAATAGATAATCGTCCGCATACTCATACATAAAATCCCTTCAGCACTTTGAAAGATGTCTTTAAAAGCCAAGCTGCCTGTGACACATTCCAAGTCAGATGTGTACGTGGTAGTACTCATTTTACAGCTGTCATTAATCTAATCTCATCTAACCTGAGATTACACACATGTAATCTGTGTGCATATGATTACAGTAGTAATCACATACTGTTTCCCTAAAAACATTCAGTCACAGAAGAACCAAAATCCCAGGACAATTTGAACCCGCAGTAGTATTAAAATGCCCCCTAACTCTAACTCTTAATTAAAACGCTCCCTGACGGATCTATCCTGAACTCTACATCTCAACAGCCCACTACCCTGGAGCCTTCAAAAACTAAATGCCAGACACATGCAGCCACAAATCCTTCAAGTTCAAATCAATGCTGGTCCCCAGTGCTATCCTGGTACTAGCAAAACACAGCCCCAGCCTCTGCTGCCTCCAGTTACAGCTAATGACAAACAAAAATATCGTTCTGTCTTTCCTTAAACTATCGAGATACAAGTCAGCATCATTTCACTGTGTCAAGCTTCTCTAACTCGTGAGGCTGCAAAGATCTTTTCATTTTCATCTACATTTCAGCTGCCTGAGAAAGGTACTAAAAGTTCCATTAGCACTTTTTGCACATGCCACTATTCATTTTTCATGCACATTTTTATACTTGGACTAAGGGTTTTGTACATCTAATGACTTCAAAACACCTTTGGGGCAACGCATGTTAAAATTTCCTTTGAAAATATGGTCTCTAGAGACAGGAAGAAATGTTTGGCAGATGTATGTCAAAGCAATCATTAAATACTTCAGGAAAAGAGGGGAAAAGCATGAAAGGGATTCATAATTAAGCGTTAGTCCTTTTCCCCAAGTACTTATGTAAAATGAAGACATGCTCAGAATAGGAATTTGCATTTCCCTTATTTCATTAATTTCCGTGGTCATCTGACTAGATTCATTGTAATAAATCAATTATATCATCAAGCAGCACGAATTCTGATGCAAAAGTCCATTGCTGATAGTAAATGTTAAACAAAATACACTGTCAAAGAGAAATGTTTCTTCATTTTCTAACTGTGAATCCTTCCACAGTCAATATATTATGGCATGAGATACTAACGAGTATCACAATGCACTGGTGTTACACAAAATATTTACCCAAAAGAGGAGGTTTTGGGTTTGGTTCTTTAATTTACTTCTAAATTCTGTTTTCCCTTGAATTGTACTTGGTTTTGTTAGCAAGCCATAAGACACCATGTGAGTTTATATGGTGCAGCTTCTTTGACATATGCAGTAAACAGACCAACAATTCCTTCCCTTAGCCCATGCACAATAACTAACACAACCTCCTCCCCCATATTTCGATATCTAGCATAAATGAGATATTAATTTTTCTCTTTATTAATAGGAAGACAAGGTTACAATGATGCTGCCTTACCCTAATCAAATTCAATCCACTTTTAATGCATTCAACATCATATCAGACAGGATGTGAACGTAATAATAGCGTAATAATAACAACAGTAAATATTGCTCTGGGAAATCACACAGTTAAATTTAACTCTTTTCCTGATAGAAAGATTGAAAATTTGGAGCAACTCAAACAATTTCTAAAAAGAAAAATGGTAAGAATTTTATAAACTGTAAAACAACATCAATATCTTTGATTTTCTTAAAATCAAAGTAGGTTGAAACTTGCCCTGGTTTCAGCAGGGATAGAGTTAATTTCCTTCCTAGTAGCTGGTCCAGTGCTGTGTTTTGGATTTAGGATGAGAACAAAGTTGATAACACACCGATGTTTTAGTTGTTGCTAAGCAGTGCTTACACTAG